CCTTCGCGATACTTCTATAAATACACCTGGCTGCTTTTAAAAGGAAGCGTTTAGTCGTTTAATTTAATGTTCGCCTGCTAACAGATTTCCGTAAACCTATCAGTATTTCCAGTATTCCCTCTAAAACCTCGAAAGAGTTTATTTTTAAGGCTCTATACGACTGACTGTAGCACATTTAAAAACTATCTGGTTTTCTTACCGATTGGTCCTCCTGCACAACTCATCATATGTTGTAATGATTGAGTGAAGGCTTCACTCAAGATTTAACTGTCGCGGAAGACTTCGATTTATTGTAAATTCACTTCTCGTCATCTCACAGTGATCTATAAGTATATACAATTTATAAGTATTATATAATAACCGGTAACAGCTATTCACTCCTTTCCTAGACTTCCACAAGCATCATGATCGTAAGGGGACATAGTGCAAGCGCAGTTGTAAAACGACGTTTTGCTTGTAAGCACTCCTCAGAACACCACTACTCAGGAGCAACCAGTTCGCAATAGGTGATAGGACAAAGCTGCATATGCCGATTGCGTTGTGTGTTCAGATGGAGAATTTAGAGACTGATCCAACTGCGGAATAGATATCAACCATCGGCGAGATCGGTCCCACATCACTCATGTGTAGATGAGCAGCTGGCTGGCGCTTCTTGGCTAGTAAAAGAAGGCAGGGGCTTGTGAGCCATTTGGGAAAGCACATGAAGTGAGACGTACCAGCGTACGATTTCCAGATGCACAATTCTACGTTATATATCTCTTCTTGGAAAGCGTTAGAAGCCTATAGGAATATTGGCGCGTAAGCCTAAAATCAGTAGCAAAAAGAGCATTTATCTGTCACATTTGAGCCATTGCTATCTGTTTTTTCAGATTGCCAGCTATTCTAAGGCATTAAGCCATTCAGAACAGTCTAGTATATTATAATCGTAGGCAGGTGAGAGGAAAAGCTAGCTTTTGCTAAGCTCAAGCTCTGCGAGTTAGTCTTCGTGATTTTTAGGCTTCTTGTGCTCACAGGTACTCCGAACATCTTCGAGGTTAAAAGGTAGTGCCAAATCTTCAAATATCTTTCGCTCCAGTTTCACATTTCTTAACAAGCTCAAAGTTGAAACGTGGCACCTATAGCTTTTCCACATTTGAGGGAAAAACTTCCACTTAGAGTTGATCTGTTGAGTATGTTTGATCTAACGATAATTGTTGAGCATGTTTATTTGTTTGTTCTTTTATTCGTAGCTGGCGCGTTGTCTTTTTATCTTTATCTGCTGTTTGTCTCCTTGATTGTTACAACTTCCCCCTTAAATCTTACTTCCTCACTTGTCTGCATTCTTTGATTTTCTAATTCCTTTCTATTAGTCATTACCGAATACCGATGTCGATAATTCCTTAGTAAGTAGTAAAAGCAAGTAAATTCGTCGAAACAGGAATTAAAGCGAACAACTCAAACTACAATCTAATCTTTAGTGAATAAAAAGACTTAAGATTTGGAAGTCAGAGAAAGCGTCATGCTAACACGCGTGCGCAAAGAAGATAACTCAGCGTGCTCTACTGCGAATTGAAAGCGTCCTTTAATATGCATATTTCAATTCAATAAATCCGATCGCTAATGTAGACCACTTTGCTAGGGTTGACAACCGATTACGTTTACCTGAAGTTTTACGAAGTTGCTGTCCTTTTGCTCATTGCTTGTCTAGCTCTTTTAAAAGATTGCCTATGCACCTGGATAGTTAGCTCAAATTTTCTTGAGATTATTTTTTACATTTGGGACTTTCATCTTCGAGATTTAAGTACCAGTTTTTTTGGTTGAAATCAAAATATTCTATAGTAGTGTTTGGAAGTGTATGTTCACTAGCGAAACAATTTTTTTGAGATTTGTGCTATAATTATATTCCAGAAGTTGACTTGATTGATTTTAATCACGAATGACGATCCAAGTAGGGCTGAAGATAGAGTTATACCATGAACTTAATGCAAGAGTGTCCTATATTGGGTTTTATTTCTTCTTCTCACAATTTTTTATATTGATAGTGCAATTGCAGATGGAACGAAGTCTAGATGGTTCATGTTTGGATGCAGATGCAACAGGCGATCGTTTCAGTGCGCAGTTCAATAGCACTGCTTTTGTAACTGTAGAAGAATTAGACCGATGTAGTCCGAAAGCATGTAAAAAACCCGGTACGTTTTGATGTGATTTAATTTTCGGCTTTTTCCTCAATTATTCAGTTGATGTGCAAGGAAATCAGATAACCTTACCGGTTTATATGCGGATCAGTAAGAAATAGCTAAAAGTACTAGGGTAATAGCTTTACAATTTTTTCACATTCTTGAAGTTTCTACCTCTGTTAGCTTCAAAAATTCTCCCTTTGCACAGTGAAAGATTCCAGACTTAAAGCTGTCTCCAATTCTTCATGATAATGAGAGAAGAACGGTGTACGGTAGACGTATGGTACAATACAAATGTCGAGGCGAAAGTCCTTTAGTCAAGAGTGTACGTATGGATCCGCCGCATCCACTCAGCGATATTTCGGAGATCCGTGCAGAAAAAGTAAGTCACTAAGCAAATTAATGATTTTTTTGTACGAAGTTAGAGAATGGTGGTGGGAACATACTTGCACGAGTGTTTTCTTCCAACAAGTATGCTAGATTTTACAGACTGATGAGTCTTCATCATCTCATTTGACCGACCAAGCTGAAGACAGCAGCGTTTCAAATAAGGAAAATGAACGTCCGGGAACATCTACTCCCGAAAGGTTAATTCTTGCTTTTTTCCAAGCCTGTCTTTTTATATTGAAGACAACACTTATCTCTTAATGAAGGGTGTTATACTGTATTGATAGAACGAGTTAATTACGTAAAAAGTGTTTGGGAGCCGCTTTTCAAACTGTGAGCAACTGAATTGTGTTGTTTGACAAGTGTTTTTGTGGCTGTCTTCTGTCTTATTTTTGTATTTGCTTTTTTTAAATATTTATTGCTTTGCTCTAATGCTTACATCGTGCTTAATTCCCAGGCATCATCAAAACTCCGAAAATTTTTATACTGTAGCGACTAATCGACGAAAGCCTGTATTTAGAAATACTAGCATGCCATCTCATTCGCGATCTACCAACTCATTTGAAAGTCATATTCTGGAGACTCTTCACACGAATACCTTCAGTCCAAGCGTATTTGCCGTACCTGAAGCTCCTACGTCTCCTGAAGTGCGTTGCTTGTTCATAAAGCTGACTTTTTGTCACAGATATTTTTATTCTCAGGAGTTTAAATGGTCCATTGAAGAATTATCGATATTAAAGCCAGTTCATATAACGCAAGAAGAGATTGCTCAAAGTTCTTACTCACCGTAAGTAACATACTATTGTCGATAAATTGACGTTAATCGGTTAGAATGTGTATAGCAAAATCAATTGTATTTTTTCCACGTTCTAGAGATCCTGAGACTGAAGCTAAGATACAGTCAATACTTGATGAATACTGGCGTAACAATACATGCCACATTCCATCGCCTGATGTTCCCGTGAGGGTATGTTTCATGAGCAATCATCGTGAGATTTCCGATTATTCTTTTTATTGGAGATACTACGATGACCGTGTTAAGCAGTGTATAGAGCATCTTCTGACGTGTAACTCAACATCAGAAGATGCTTTTTCGCTTTTTGCAGTTCTACATGTTATAAAAAAGAACGGATAATGTTTCCACCATTTTCACAAATATCGGCTCGATGGGGCGATCATCACCCTATTTTTTATCAGCTCTTTTACCAAAATGATTGTTAATGTTCTATTTGGAGTATACTGTACTATACTTCAAATACATCTCATTTCTCCATCGCCTGATTGGTTTTTGGCGTAGAGAGCATCTTCTCATAAACAAACTCAATTCATCTTCTTAGATCCATAATCTCAACATCTTTTCAATTTTTTAGAATCCGCTACTTGGAGGTCACGAAACTCCCTTGTGCGACGCTGTTCGCGTTCAGGCTGCGTTGCGCCTGAAATATTCAACATCATCTCCAAAAGCTCGTCCGAGTGTAACTTCTGTTTCCCGTCGTAGCAGTTTTGTTCAGCCTCAACGCAGCAGATATTCGCAAACAGAAGTCACCATCGATCCTTCTGCTGACATTGATTTCGCCAAGCTTCTAGGTAATTCTTTCGTCGAACTGTTCCCAAAAATTTATCTCTGACATCTAGGTCCGTCGTACATTTACAATTTTGCTGATGATTGTGACGATGAGTCGGTTTTTGACGCGACCGCATCAAGTGTGGGATCTCTGCGAAGGCGACTGTTCATCGGGGAGGATGATCACGACTCGTCCCAAAATTGTGACGTGGATGAAGATCTGGTACATGCTCCTTTTCATTGGTCTCTGGCTTTATGCTTATAGAAGGAAAAAAAA